AAGGGGGTCTGAATACTTTCCGTACCCACTGTATATATAAAACTGTCTCTGAAACTTATTTTTCAAATAAATGCTGTTCTTTTGAACTTTCTATTCATCAAAGAATACTGATCACAGCGTGAGCACCAGATCAGCATATTAGCTATTTATCTTTTTTGCCATTACAGGAATAATTTACATTTTAAAATATATTAAAACAGAAAACAGTTATTTTAAATATTTCACAATATTACTGTTTTGACTGTATTTTTGATTTTTTTTAAATGTGCAAAAAATCTTACAGATCGTTAAAACTTTTTGAGGTAGTGTGTATAAAATTACATTTAATCCAATTACATTTTTAAATAATTGTATAATATATTTAATAAATATTTTATAATAAATACATTTAAATACATGTATTTATTTTATTATGTATACTGCTATAGAAAGTTGAGGCAATCTGAATTGTTCTTTTTGCGGTGTGTGTCCATACTTGTAGTATAATCTCCTCAAACTTTATTTGGGTCATCCATAAATTTGCCATCTATCATTAACATCTGCATTTAAAAGGCCCCTTAAGTGTAGCTCCTAGAAAGAATCTAATAATTAATCACTAATATGTGTGTATTGTATGTTTACTAATCTGCATCAATGCCCAGACGTCACAGACCAGCAGCGGCCGCGAGTGCATGTTAGTGAACTCATGTTTACGTGTGTTTATGCGGGTCTCCTCTCTTCGTTTGAGTGTGAGACACTCACAGTTGATCCCCAGCAATCCTGCATAACATAACTGACATATTAATTAACCCTCCGCTATGCTGTCAGTAGGAAATAAGGCATCACGGCCACATGAAGGTTGTTTTAGTTACTAGACTGACAGGCCGGGTAATAGGCATCCCTGCAGTCGCCATGTCACCTCCCCGCAGGTCAACCAGTCTTAGTCCAGAGGAGGTAACAGTCACATCCACAATGTAGCGAATCAAAGAGGCTGCAAAATTAATGAGGGAATCAGCGTCAAGCCATGGGGGAAAAGGCAGCATAAAAGAACCGGAAATGAGAGGAAATAAGCCCTCACTAATACCTCATCTAAGGAGATCCCACCCAAGTGGGAGGTGTCTTTTGTCAAAGCGCTTCTGCCCCGGTAATTGTTTTTGACCTTCAACATCGTCAGTTTTGTGAAGAGAGCTCTTCCTCAGACAGTATACAGAATGGCAGTGCTGACGTGCTCAGAGATTTGTGTGCGACATGTATGAGCTCTGTAAGGCCGTTGTTCGGTAACATACCTCCGCTTTATCAAGAGGATGAGCTGCATTCACCAGTCGGCTGTCAGGGTTTTGAAAGGACTTCAGGCGCACACTTTGGGCCAAAGAGAAGGATTTCAAATCTGTGCATATTTCAAATCTGTGCATTAAAGGGAAGCTGCCCTCTGAATACCCTTAAAGGAATACTACACCCCAAAATGAAAATTTTGTCATTAATCACTCCCATGTCGTTCCAAACCCGTAAAAGCTTCGTTCATCTTCAGAACACAATTTAATATATTCTTGATAAAAACCGGGAGTCTTGTGACTGCCCGATTGACTGCCAAGTAAATTACACTTTCAAGGTCCAGAAAAATATGAGACATCGTCAGAATAGTCTATCTGCCATCAGTGGTTCAACCGTAACGTTATGAAGCGACGAGAATACTTTTTGTATGCAAAGAAAACAAAAATTAACGACTTTATTCAACAATTTGTCTCTTCTGTGTCTCTCCGCATCACCGTAGTGCTATTTTGGAGAATATACGCTGAACGCAAGCAGCGTATGCTATTCTGTGTCAGCCGTGACACAAGGATACATTTTCTGCTTTGATTTGAACGTAAACAGCGCATCCGTGCAGCGCGGCTGACACAGAAGAGCGTATGCTGCTTGCGTTCAGTGGATATTCCCCAAAATGGCGCTATGGTGATGAGGAGAGACACAGAGGAGACGAATTGTTGGATAAAGTCATTATTTTTGTTTTCTTCGCGTAAAAAAAGTATTCTCGTCGTTTCATAACGTTACAGTTGAACCACTGAAGGCAGATTGACTATTCTGAAGATGTCTTTCATACTTTTCTGGACCTTGCAGTGTAATTTACTCGGCAGTCAATGGGACAGTCACAGGCCTCCCGGTTTTCGTCCAAAATATCTTAAATTGTGTTCCGAAGACGAACAAAGCTTTTAGAGGTTTGGAACGACATTGGAGTGATTAATGACAACATTTTCATTTTGGGGTGGAGTATC